TCTGGATGTGATTTGTCTTATTTTTACTATTTTATTTTTGTGAAACATGCAGATTTTTCCTTGATTTGAGAAGTCAAGGCAATTTACAGATGGATAAAAGGATTTATGCTTTAAAAAAAAGAGGAAACAACTAATTTTTTATTTCAAGTGCAAACTATCAAATCTTTTTAAGGGAAAGAAAACTTATTCCATCTGTTGAAATTAAAGGGAAATAGATTTACCTTAAGACATTTGAACTTCTAGATCTGTTTTTTGCAGCAGCTTTACATTGATGTGCTTCAGGAAAAGCACACAAGGAGACTTCCTCCTGTCTTCCCACAGAAAAAAGTCATTGCCAAGTGAACTTTGGGACGACACACCTTGGGTATACAGGACGTTGATAAAACATAAGGGAGTGCTGCAGGAGTGTGAAGATGTTTGTGAATTTCTCCTTTTCAGATAAACTCAATGCATCAGTTAAAGGAAGAAAACTTTGCCTCATTACATAAAAAGCTTTAGCTTTGAGATAATTTAATGAAGCAGGAATTCACTGTAAGAAACCAGCATTTGTTCTGTTGCAAAGTTCCTTCTTTCTTTGTTGGCAGTCCTGTTTAAGGTTATTTTGAACTAAATTAATTGTTATTTTAGTAGTATATGGAAAATGATAGGGAAATCCAATATTAAGGGTAATTTATTCAGTAGGGGATAAAAAAAACAACAGTTTTTAATCAAAATCCAAACTATTGTCATTACTTAACAGCAGGCCTGCACCAAGCATGCCTCCTATGAGATTTTAAAGAGCATAGAGTTAGACGGACTATTCCTCTTTTGTTTAAAATCGTCTTGGTCTTCAGCCTGTGTCGAAAGGAATTTGGCCTTAAAAGCTTGTTTAGTGTCTGGTGAGCCGTTTAAATTTAATTTGGCCATCTGTTCCTGGTGAAAGACCGAATGACAAGGGAAAGGCTAAGAGGCCTTAAAGAAAAAACGGTGATCCACTACATACCTCCCTGTAAGCATCCAAGTCCCTTTTTTCACATAATCATTTAATATTCAAGTCCAACAACCCTGGAGTTTGAATTTTCCTTAATATAGCACTGTCCTTGTGATGTTGCATGGGGCAAACTCATGTTTTTGTTTGTGATCTCTGGACAGGAAATTATTTTTCAGGCACCAGGTTGGTATGCAGGTGGAATCTGATGGTTGTTATGGATACTTGGTAACACACAAATGCTGCAGTTTGAACAATTTCAAATGCATCATTATCCTGGTTATTTTTCCATGGATGCAAAAAATAAAAGTCCTTATCCAGCCAGGACGATGTAAACGATGGCTGTCTGTGGCATGTCATGCATAAACCTTTCCAAGTTTAAAAACAAAAAAAACAAAACAGGTCTGTTTTTAAAGACTTTCTAACCCAACCTGGCTCAATCAACCACCACACCCATACCAGATTACTAGAACTGAAGTCAGTAATGGAATTAAAAGAAAAAACCTGACATGAAGGTTAAATATCTAAGACAGTTAATTGATATCCACCAGTGAGCAAAGGTACTTAGGCTGTAAGATGCCTGAGAACCACCATGCATTTTAAGTGTCCTACAAAAATTATCCTAAGGGCACATTAATGTCTCTTTCAGGTGGTTACAAGCACAGAAAAAAAGAAAAAAAACTGCATTGTGTTATTTCAAGTGCATATTATCTGATTTTAGGAGTGAAAATGCTTAATCATCTAGTTTCCCTACTTAAATTAAGGGTAAAAAACACCTAATTTAAGAAATGCTGACATATTTCTAAATCGTCTTTGCAGTGATCAACAATCTGCTTTCAAAAAAAAAAAAATTGAGAAAACAATCTATAGACATATGACAATACTATCTTTTTGGACGAAATGCAGTTTTATTTGGAGTAAAACTGGCAGCGTTTAAGAAAAAAGGACAAACAGCCAAACACTGTGGTGCTCCAGTGCTACACTCCTACCCTCAGTCACCACAAGAAAAACCTAAAGACACCCGGCTTTGGGAAAAGACCAAAAGTCAACCAGCTTATCTGTTTTTATGGATAATTAAAGAGAAGAATGTGGAGTGACAGTTAAAATCTGACTGAGATGCTTCACCATA